TTTCCTATGTAGTTTGATTCCATGGGAATATAGTGAGTACTAGTAGGACACTTACCTGTTTGATCCAATCCAAGTACACATATCATTGTCCATCCACTCATCCCTAACCTTACCAAAAAGATCAATTAGGTCATCTCTGTTTTCGTTCCATTCTTCGATTACTACAGGCTTTATCGTCCTCCAATTTTCAAGCATATCATCCACTGTAAGCCCCTCTGCAACCTTGAACAATTAACAGCAAATATCATGGCCCATTACTATCAAGAAAAAAACTGAGCACAAAAAAGTCAACCAAGATTTCCAGATGGGATATCACTAATGTATCATAACATGCATTAAGCTAATAAGCTATTAGATAGTGCCTAAATACCAACCGATGACTTGCGAACGGAAGGAACTCTAATTTCCAACAGCAGCCTCACTAGCAATACATTTTCATAGCCAGTTTCAACAACAGGCCTAACCTGAAACATATTTCAATGTCAATTCTGCATGAACTATATGGTTCACACTTCACACAAACACACATCAATTTTCCAAACAAAATTCTGAAAAAAGAAGAAGATAGTATCTCATATCAACCAAAGTTGTTCATAAACAGTACGGTAGCACCATAATGGATATCAGTATAAGAAGAGCATGCTTAAAAAGTTTCGATAGAAAGTCCAAAGTTATCTTTTCTGGTTACCATAAAATTATAACCACCTAAATGGAAAATGTGTCATTGGTTTTCGTTTTTTTAGTTAGTTGGGGTAATAGCATGGGTGCCCCCCGTGGTTTACAAAAGGAGCACCTAAACCCCCTCTACTTTCAAAAGTTATTTGTAAAACCCTTGTGGTTTTCAAATAGTGCACGGACGCCCCCTCTTGCCTATTTTTAGACATAAAATGACATATCTACCCTTTATTTTTCTCTACCTTCAAGTTTCACTCTTTTATTTGCATTTTTTTGTTATACAAATAAATAAAATAGCGCCCCATTTCTCAAATTAAAATTTTTCATTTATTTAATTTTCAAAAAAATAATTTTTTAAGAAAATGTTACAAAAGAAAATGAAAAATTAAAAAATGAAATAAAATACACCTTTTCATTATAAGTAAAAGTAAAATAAATAAAATAAAAAAATTAGAAAATAAAATACGGAGTTAAAGAAAAAGATTATTTTCATATTTTTCTTTCTTTTCATTACCTCTTTCAATTATTATTTTTACTTTATACATAATATTTAATTTTTCATTTTCTTTTGTAACATTCTCCAAAAAAAATCTTTTTTCCAAAAATACATTATGGAAAATTTTAATTTGAGATGAGAAACGTATATTTCATTTTATATATTTGTATAATAGAGAAAAATAAAATAGAGTAATTTCAAGATCAAGGAAAAGAAAGGTCATAAATATCATTTTTATTTTAAAAATAGGTAAGGGGGCATGTATGCTCTATTTAGAAATCATAGGGACTTTACAAATAACTTTTGAAAACATAGGGGGTTTTGACGCACTTTTTTAAACCACGGGGGGGGGGGGGGGCA